GCACCAATGTAGAAAGCCCAACGTCCTTGCCATAGAGCACGTGAGGGCCACATCTCCAAAGGCCGCCAACCAAAAGCAACCATCGAAGCGATCGCCGTCTCCCTTCAGCAGGCGCCCCATGGCTAGCACAAGGGTGACTTCCTAAAGGGGCTCTAGGCCTGCAAGGGCCGGTAGCAGTAGTGCCAGCACACGGGGTGCCATCGGCATCTTCTTTGCCTGTCCGGCTTTGCATAAGTTCTTCAACGGAGTTCTTGGTCCCACTAGGGATCTTCTCAGTTCTTCCAGGTTCTAGGGTCCTGTCCCGCAAGTGCAGCTCAGGAGCGCTGAGCGACCTACCACAAGCCTTGCTACAGCGCCTGCTTCGCATGCCTCCAGGGGTACATGAAGAAAGAGCGCCTCTAGGAACCACACTAGGACCCTGCACCCCTTAAGGATCGACTGACTCAGCAGCCATGGCGCAAAGGCACGCGAGAGCCTTCGCGGTATCATGTGAACCGCGTGCCTCCGCGGTCGATTCCACCTATATCGTCGCATCCTAATCACTCTGGCCTTGTAGGCCTTGCAACGCAGCAAAGCGTCTCGAACAGCAAGTCGCCAGCCACCTTGGCGAAAACGCCCACGATGCGGTAATCCCTGCCGCGGTCCCCAGAGATGGGCACCTTGAAGAAGCTGTTTACGAAGCCTGCGCCGAGAACGCGCGAAGCCAGCAGACCTCTTCACCAGTCGCCGGTCACCATGACAGCCAGCGGTCACCCCAGACCATCGCCAGCTAAGAAACCAGGCGCCAAGCCACAGCCGCAAAGCGCCAAAGGCAGTAAACCACCAATGCGCCCAGCAGCACATCACCCTGAGGAGCCTTATTGCAAAAAGGCCCAAGGCACAAAGTCCCACAATGGCAACGCAGGAGTCCAGCAATCCAGCCGGCTGCGCCTCGAATTTTGATGCTTGTCCACATGGCACCAGAGCAAAGAGCACCAGGGCCAAGAGAGCAGGTGAGCCACGACCTGCACGTCGTCCACGTCCTCCTTCAGCAGCAAAAGGGAAAGAGCCCCGGCTGCCAACCATCGCAAGGTTAACCCCGCAAAGGGCCCTGCACATAGCAGCCCATGTCGTCCACATCACGGTAGCACTCCGCACACCCAAGCGGAGGCCACCGACCCACAAAGTGAACAACTTCGCACCCCATGGTAACACCATGAGGCCCGCTACTGCCGAACTCGTCGTGGAGTAGGAGGCGTTGTTATGGTAGCTGAACATGACGAGAGCGTGCTGGTTTGGAAGGCGCGCGCCCCTTGAAGAGAACGCCGCCCATGAGTAGGGCGCTCAGCGCCCATCCGTCCGCTGCTGGAAGCCGCTGTGCTCTCGCACAGTCGCACAGCCTTCCGAACCCTGCCCAAGTACTCCAGCACCTTCGCGTCCTCCGCTGCAGTGATGTGCTCGCGCGGCCATCCCATCCTGCGTGTTGCCCGCTCCACCCCCCCCGGCAAAGTGAGCGCACTGCCATGCCAAATGCTCCCAATCAGGCACAACGGTGTCCTGACAGAACGGACACTCTCCTAACCCTTGCACACGGATCCTGCGTTACCTGGCCACCGAGTGCACAGCACCGACCAAGCAACCCCGCTGTTCCCACCCTACTTGAGCAAACTGCGCCCGCGCTTTGCGCATGACCGCATCAGAGTACGGCCACGCGGGCCCCAGCAGACGGCTGTCAATGCGCGAGGTCTGTTGAGGAACGAGTCAAGCCGCTGACGTCTCCAACTTTCCCGTAAGGCATGGGTGGACATGCCGAGCCAACGACGGAAAGGGGCGCCAGCCGGCGGCCAAGGCCACTGCAAGCGCCCTATACGGCAGCATGACTAAAGAAGTCCAGCCGAGGTTGTGAAGTTGTTGACGAAGCTGGCGAAACCACTGTTATGTAAGTACTGAGTGCCGTGCGATGCCCAGAACTGCAGGGTACGGGACCGGGACAGTGCAGCAAACGAAGCTGAACCCCTGCAAACTTGAAATCAGTCCAATGCCCATGGAAAAAATGAAACAAATCCCGCGAGCCCGTTCGATGCGCTCTCACAGCAAACTTGACCTCGGTCCCCAGTCGGAAAGCCTGGCGGTCAGTAGGCGATGCCAGACCGGCCCCACGTGACAAGAGGAGTCACTCTCGTGCTGGCCAACTCCGCCGCAAGCCCCGCCGTAGCAAGTCACGCCACTATCCTCTGGCCTGGGGCTTTTCGCTGGAGTCTGGAGCCTGTCTGCATGAAGTCTACGCCTAAAACCCTGGCCTGGGTGGTCACACGATCAGCCTCGCAACCAGCGCTCAAAACAGCCTCCGTGTCCTCCATGGGTCCATCCCAAGCCTCCAAGAGCCGGGTAGCGGCGGTGGAGACCCCTCGGCCCTGAATGGCTCCATGAACATCGTCGTTGTGACGAGACCTTGGACCCATTACCTCATCTGAGGATGCTTGGCCATAGCAGAGGCAATCACACGATTGAACACCGACTGGATGGAAATCTGGCGGAAGCTGTCCGCCCCTTCGCCCTTGTCCTTGGCCAGGAAAACTTGGCGTTAACATCGCATGGGGAGAGGCCAACGGTCTCTGACTGCCCACCGCTGCCACACGTCCAGGAAGAGCTCCCACGCGTGCTGGGGCCAAGCGTGCACTTCCTTGCCGGACCAACCGTCAGGCCCCGCCGCGCCATGCCGCTTAGAGGCCTAAAAATCCAACGCTGTAAGCTGCCACTCGCAGGCGGTTGTAGGCGGCCCTCGAGTGAGAAGAGTGCCTGCCCGCAGACGCTCCAGCTCCTCGCTGCCGGCGTCCCTGTTCCAGACTTGGCTCCAGAACGAGACAAGCTGTTCGAAACCTTCATCAACGGTGGCCGTGAAGCTGCCGCTATCACGCTTAATGGCTGGCGGCCTGCTCATGCCAAACCTACCCGGAAGCCATTGCGTAGCGAAACGGCCCTGCGCGCCCACGTGGTCGCGCCAATGACCCACCTTAGCTGCTCGAATCTGCTGCCTAAGTTGTGCGGCCACGTGTCGCCTCAGGAGTGCCCACCTGCAGCTGGCGACGGAGCTCGGCAACACGACCAAGCCAGTTAGCGAGACGACGCAGCTCGATAGTAGCATCACAAGCTCCCGACGCAAGCCTCGATCCTGTTGTCAAACAGCGACGATGTCAGCGCCTTTAGCGCGGACGCCCCGCCTGAGGCTGCCCACAGCGCGCCAGCGCATGTCTATGAACGGCCGCCATGGCGCTGAACGCCGTCCACTCCTCCCCACAACCAGGCCAGCCCAGCCAAGGCACTCTTCCATGACCACGCCGACAATCCGGCGGGCTTGGGCAACGACGCGGTAGGGACGGCCACCCAACCCGGCTCGAGGCGGCCGGCCCAGCGCATGCGAATCCAACCTGCGGGTGAAGGTCCTCCTCCCGATTGCCCATGAAAACACCGTACTCGATGCAACGACGCCCCACCCATCGGGCGGGCGTCCTCCGAAACAGCGCACACCGCCCCGAGCTGGCTGAGGGGGTTGTCCTCCGGCTCAAGGTTGAAGTCCCCAAAATAGAAGGCATCCTGCCCCGGAGCTCTGGCAGCAGCCCGAACAGCCAGGACACCACCAAAGTACCGAGCAGATTGCCCGCGCTGCCGGCCATGTCGTTGCCAAGTTGGGCCCTTATACTGTGGCGTAAAAGGCGCGATAGCCTGCCCACCTATAAGCTCCGCCGTGACGGACCGAAGGTCGGCTGGACTCGCCCTGCATTCCTGAAACGCCGCGAGGTGCGGCCGACCTTGGCGAAGAGCCACAGTCTGTTGCATCATGGTCCACGTGACAGTGCGTGACGAAGCACCAGAGCCGTGAGGGGCTCCACGCCTTCTCGTACCACCGCTTGGCGACGTCCATCCAGGAACTGCTTGAGCTTACGCTTACAACTGAACAGAAACCAAGTTGGTCCTGCAACGGCGGCCCTCCAGAGTAGTATAGTCCCGAACGGGACGATCAGAATGGCTCTGATGTGTCGCCAATGCATACACTGCAGCTGCTGCTTGCTAGGGGCCCGCAAGACCCGGCGGCAAACGTTGCACTCCCATTCAAAGTGATCCCCAACCTTGCGAACCTTATGCTTAAGCTTGTCCTCTCGCTCCCGAAGAAGCCTAAGGCGATGCCTGTAGGCCTGCGAGCCCGGCGTTAGCAGCAAACCCAACCACGTCACAAAAAGAGCATGTCCACTTCCATCTCCGCGTAGGCGGCTGCTGAGGCTCCGGCCGGGCCAAAGACTCGGAAGTGCGAGCCTCGCCCCTAACCTGAGTGCCGGCAACAGGCCTGGGTCGCCCGGCTCGCCGAAGTATGCCGCCTTGGCCCGACGAACTTTATCAACCCCGCGCGGCTCGGTGCGGACCGCCCGACTCTTAGGGCGGGCCCGGGCCGTCGCCCCTCGGTTCAACAGATCCACTTCATCCTGAGAGAGGCGAAAGCACCCCCTCAACCGACGACGATCAACCTCGGCCGTCCGGGCATGCCACAACCGCTGGAACTTGGGCTCATAGAAGTTTCCACGACGTCCCTCCCTCTCCGTGCATCGAGCGCTTGCTTTGTCGGCAACGTCAACAAGCAGGTCATTGTACGTGTTCCACAAGCGACCACACCGCAGCATCCCCAGGGCGATCGCTTACGGCCCACGTCATGAGAGGCAAGACCGAGGAGGCAGCGAAAGTCTTTTGCGATCGCGAGAGCAGATAGCAAACTTGATTCGAGATAGCAAGAGAGTGATACGTTCATCGATCTGCTTCCGATACGTCGGGGTTAGGGTTTAGGTTCATTGCAAAAGGGAAACAATGGAAACGGTATTGAAAAAAATCTGTTGGCGGTCACTTCACCTCCAACAAAGCCCCAAAGAGTGGAAACAAAAAGTTTCAAGAAGCACAGCTGACAAAGCTATCACTAATCGGGCATGCAGTAATACACAGGTCTGAAACCTATGTGAAGGGTGTCGCCCAGGAGCCCACGTCCAGCACTGAGTCCAACCAGCCGTAACCCCACGTCCATGCGACCACAACCGGGTAAATGAAGCTGGTCAAAGGTTTTGTTGTGTAAGCAGCTTCCGCGGCAGACACCGAAAAAGCCCCACGAAGGGGCATGTCCTCAAAGGCCCTCAAGGGGCAATCACACGATCAACTCGTCCATCAAGGACGACTCATCAACCACTGTACAAATGCGAAACAAATTCCAATAAATATGCACCAAGTAGACGAGCAAGTCTACAAGAGAGAGCTCGCCGACCTCAAGAGAGACAACGACGCCGAAAGACGTCGGTTACCGAACTCAACTAGACCACATCCACAAAGTGACAGCGAAGAAAGCTAGCACCCCATATCCGCGTCCAGTACATCCACCAAGACAATGAAGCGGAAAGCAAAGAAGGCCACCGCCCCACAATTCCCACACTCCAGTGAACCACAATGACCAGCAAAGAGGGCCGCCATCTAGATCCCCCGGGAAATCTCCGTCATCATGCTTGACCGCGGCCACAAAGTGCCAAGCAAAGGGGCTTGTGCACCTCATTTCCGCAGATCCGCGCATCTTCCCCCATAGCGAAATGGAAGGCACTGCGAAGGCCTCCATCTCGGACCCAACCGTCCTCATAAAGATTTAACAACTCTGAACTGTGCAAACCACTTTATGCTGCTTGACTGGCGCGTGTTGGCGCACCAATCAAGTCATCCTCAATCATCCAACACCGCCTTTCCAGCGATGCTTCCCACCAAACTGTACAAAGCAGCGTGAACCTGCAAAACCTGTACACCCAGACCAGAATGTCCCTCGGACTCTAATTAAGCGCTCCCAGCTGTACAAGAACGTAGCACCAGTGGTCCTGTTGTCGAGCTCGTCGCGCTGTAGGCATTCGTTGGACCCCTGCCACCACGAGGAGGTCGCCCACGGGCAGGAAATGAAGCTGGTCATGCAGAAGGCATACACCGCGTAAGTGGGGCTCTTCACACGCTCCGCCACGCCACCACTCACAATGGTCGCGCCGGCCGCACAGAAGGCCCACTGGAGTTGACTTTCAAAGGTGCAGCGCCTCAGGGACAAAGCACCTCCCCCGAAGGGAATCACAGGTCCGCTCGTTGGAAGCCATCCTCGGCGCGGATGGCTTTCACGACCTTTTCAAAGTGAGCCGAAAGAAGCTCCCACTGCTGCTGTGAAGACCCACTCCAAGGCCAGCACAACCTTCTCGCCAGACGATCCCGAGGATCCGGCGGTCGGCCGGAGCTGAAGTGTGGGCAGCGCCACACCAAGTGCTCCAAGCTCGGAGGCTCACCACAGCCGCAAAAGCGGCAGGTCTGACTCAGGGATTCATCACGCATGATCTCGTAGCAAGCAGAGCTGTAAGCAGCCCCAAGCATGCATGCCCGCACCGTCTGGGAACTATGAGCATAACAAAACCTCGCCCTCTTGGCAATGCCCTCCTCGTACTGAACAAACCCTCGGAGAGCAGAGCTGTCACGGCGATTGCGTTCAAGAAAGGCCTCAAAACGCTGTACACGCCAGGCCTCACGCACCTTGTGGAGCGTTCTTTCGATCCATTGCTTAACACCACCATGGCGAGGAAGCCAGGGCCAGGGGATGTCAGTCAAGGACGGATGTCTAAAACCACCATCAGCAGCAAATTGGTATCCCAATCTGTACAGCGCTTCCTTGATGTGTGAAAACAAAACTTCACCGCGAAAAACGAAGTGATGAGCATGCCAGTAAGCCGCAGCTCTCACCCACGTAGCGATGTTGTCACAAAGCTGAGTGAGCCAACAGGAGGTCCAGTGGCCCTGCAAAAGCTCCCACAGATCCCTCGATCCACTGTGGGCTGCAGCAACAGTTTTCTTGATTCTAGTGCCGATGCGCTGACTCACGCGAGAAGTGATGGGGGCCGCCCATCGACCCCACCTGATCCGTGTCAGAGCTCGCGTCCGGGCCAAATGTGCCCTGCGACCCGGAGCTAAAGGGAGCATGGATGCTCTAGCCAAAATGGCAAGACCCTGGGCTTCTCTGTCGTCAGCAGTGATCGTCTGGCCACGGTCCTGCTGTACGAAATCAACACCAAGAATGCGCACCTGCGGGACTATCATATCCAAGGGGACAATCGCGCGCAGCTCCTCTTCGTGAACACAGCGATTGGCAACAAACTTCTGTTTCCCGTCATTTTCTTGGAGGCCCAATTGGTGACACCATCTCTTCCAATGGTTAGTCACCGCGAGGACGTCCGCCGAAGCGTGGACAAAGGCCTGTCTGTCGTCGACGAAAAGGGCCTGAGTGCTTTTTTCCTGCAACGGCAAATCATGGAATGATTCAGTCGCCTCCTTCAACGCAAGCACGAATGCCCACGGGCTCATTGCATCCCCCTGAGGGGTGCTGGTAGTGATGACCTCGGGCTCGGCACTGGAATAACGGCCAAACTGCAGATAGCGTTCTTGCTCGTGCCACGCCCATCTGTAATGCCGGAGCCATTGTTCAGGGAAGCCATGTCGCCGCAGCGTGTGAGTCGCCAGCTGCGGAGACAAAAAGTCGAACCCTTTGCGCAAATCGAGAGACACCGCGTAAGTCTTGGCGGATTCCGCCCAGCAATCCATCAGTTGCGTAACCGCGGCAGCAACAGATCTGCCGGGTACGGCTCCATGCGCGTCGAAGGGCACCAGGCGTTGGATCCATGCCCTCGCCTGAGGGTGTCGCACCATAGCCGAAGCGATGACGCGGCTGAGCACAGACTGGATGGCGAGGGGACGCAGCTCAATCGGCGTGGGTGCCTCGTCGTTCGCAGTATCGCTTTTGGTGATAAACACCTGGCGATACCTGCGCAAGCCTATATGGGCCAGCTATCAAGCTCGGCCCAGCGCGACCATAAGGTGAGATAGACCTCCCATGATCGTAGAGGCCAGTCAGCGACCTCACGTCCCGACCAACCGTCAATTCCCTCAGCGCCACCAGACTTTTGTCTAGCCGCCTCCATCAGCTGTTGAGCCTCCAGGCGCCACGAGTGGGCGTTAACGATGCTCCTGTCGCCGTTCTGAAGAGCTTGGAGCTCTGGGCAGTCGGCATTCCTGCGCCATATATCCCGCCACGAATCGCGGATCGCAGCAAGGATATCATCGATGGAAGATGCAATGCCGCTGTCAGTTTTCAAGTTAACGGCAATCTTGGCATTGTTCTGTCGCAACCACCTAGTACACTCTTTTCCCTCTTTCGCCATGGCTTCTTTCCAGTCCTTAAGGCCCTGGCTCCTGCCACATCTTTTAGCCTCGGCGAGCAGCGCTTCGGCCTCGATCAGGGCAACATATAGATCGGGCTGCTCGGGCAAAGTAGGAGGCCAAGTACGCTTCAAGGTGTCCCACAATCGCGCATCAGATCGATCCCTTTCCTTCTGGCGAAGGTGTTCCCTCAGCCGGCCAATCCACTTTGCGAGCTTGCGCTGCCGGAAAGTGTGAGGCTTTTCGCGAGCTGTCTTGGCCGGGCCCTGCGTAAACGCAGGCGGGGAGCCTTTGGCCCGGAACCCTGAACCAGGAGGCTGCAAACCGCAGGCCTGGAACGCCTGCTGACAGCATCGCTCAGCCGTGGCATTGAACCAATCCCACTCCTCCTCCGGCGTCTTTGGATCAGGAACTTGAACAGAGGTCCATGCAGTGGAAAGAGCAGCCCTCCATCGTTCGGCATCCACTTCCGAGGGCCTGCTATAATCACAAGTGGGGTTCATGCAGGCGCCAATGGAGACAAATAAGGGCAGCTCGTAAAGCAAGGAGACACCCTTATGGTCACTAACCCTGTAAGGAAGGAGCTGTGCCGTGCTCGCCGCAGGCTCCCACCGTCGCGTATCATGATGGATGAAGTAGTCGATGGCACGCCTTCCAGCCCATCGGGTGGGGGCGTAAGCCCCTTCCTCCTGGGCAGCAAGAATGGTTCCAAAGTCGGAAAGGTGATTTTCAGCAGGGGTCAAGTTCCAATCGCCCCCAGCGATCCAAGCAGCATCAAGAGAACTCGCCATGGCCATGTGTTCATAAAGATGCGAGAGCATGCCCCCATCCGCGATCTCGTGTGGTCGTTGCCACACATTCGAAATCACACAGCCTCCCAGGTCAATAGAAAGTAACTGGCCCTGAGGGGCTCCAACCTTATGCAGCAACGTGGCCCGCACATCATCACGGACAGCGGTGAGAACACCCCCCATGATCGGCCAAGTTTGTCAATCCATCCATCCTGGCACCAGCCTTTGTAGCCGTGGTGCCTCAGGAAGCGCTTCAACTGCTCGACCTCGCACGGTTTGGCTCTGACTTCCTGCAACAGGGCGGCATGGGGCCTGTCATGAAAGACACAATGAAGGCAATCGTAGGTGTTGCCCATGCCCCCAACATTCATGGTCCAAATCTGCATGGAGCAGGCTTTTTGTGATGAGGAGGGGGAAGGTCCCGGTTGGGCTTCCACATCGCCGTCTTCAAGTAGCTGTTGCTTTTGGATATCCAAGACCTGCTTCAACTTGCGATTGCAACCCGACCGAGAGGAGACCTGATGGTGGTGGCCCCACCGGCCCTGCAGGGTGCGAAACTCCCACCTAGGAACGTGCGGATGCTCGCCTTGGATGTGACGGTTCCTGGCATCCGGCAGCTGCTTCAGAGTGTCACTGACGATCTTAGCGCCACACACCGTGCATGGCCAGTAGAACTTGCTCTTGCGCCGATACCATGTTGGCTTTGAATCACAGAGCTCAGGATGCTTTTCTTGCCGATGCTGAGAGAGGCGGCGGCTGAGCACTTTAGCTGAGGGAGCCTGGAACTTGGCACCACAATGCCTGCATTGCCCTTCTCGGTGGGAGGCGGCAGGCTGAACGGCATCTGCCCCGTCACTAACGGGGGCCTCCATGTCACGCCGATGCTGGGCAGCACCGCGCACAATCGGAACATTTGCCAAGGCTCGCAGCTGGCCATGACGCCTGCTTGCCATGGTGTGCCTGACCTCAGTGGGGCCTCGTGCCTTGCGAAGCGCATCGGCTCCCAATGCAAGCATTTTCTGCTCAGCTCTCGAAAGATTGATACTGTTGACCATATGCTTTCGGTTGTCGGTGGACAGCTTGGCCCATATCAACTTAAACGAACGTCCTCGAAGCCATGATTCACGAGCATCTGTGCCCTCGCACGCGTCAAGCAATCCCGCCTGCACGTCAATGACAAGGGACCTGAGTCGGGCCCATAACCGGCCGCATTGAGCGCAGCCCCAGATGGGCTTGTGCGGTTTGTCCTTGGGGATGCGGACAATGCGATGCCCTTTGCAATCCTGACCGTGCAGCCATTGGTAAATGCGAAAAGCAGCACCCAGGCCACCTACCCTCTGCTGGAGAGTGCCGAACTTTTGGCGCATCTCTGGCACATGGCAAGTGCGCACATCATGTTCCTGCAGCCACCTCAACATGGCGCTGAAAGTAGTGCGACAATGAACCGAGGCGAGGGCTCTCAGGACAGCAGCCACACTGACATTGGCGATTTGCCCAAGGCCAACCACCCTATGATCAGCTCCCGGGGCCTGTGCCGGCACCTCTGGCGCATCCTCCGCTGCATCACCTACGAGCTCGCCATCAGAAGCAAACTCAGAAATTGCACGTCCTCGTTGGCGCTTGCCCTTGCGAGAACCTCCAGCCGACGAAGCAAAGTCACTGAGACGGCCTCTGTATTTGCACGATCTCCCCGAAGAAGAGGCAAAGTCACTCAAAGGACCGACTCCACCACGCAACCTTTTTCCTCCATAAGCAGCTGGGTCAACTTGCGAAGGAGTGATACGTTCATCGATCTGCTTCCGATACGTCGGGGTTAGGGTTTAGGTTCATTGCAAAAGGGAAACAATGGAAACGGTATTGAAAAAAATCTGTTGGTGGTCACTTCACCTCCAACAAAGCCCCAAAGAGTGGAAACAAAAAGTTTCAAGAAGCACAGCTGACAAGCTATCACTAATCGGGCATGCAGTAATACACAGGTCTGAAACCTATGTGAAGGGTGTCGCCCAGGAGCCCACGTCCAGCACTGAGTCCAACCAGCCGTAACCCCACGTCCATGCGACCACAACCGGGTAAATGAAGCTGGTCATGCAGAAGGCATACACCGCGTAAGTGGGGCTCTTCACACGCTCCGCCACGCCACCACTCACGATGGTCGCGCCGGCCGTACAGAAGGCCCACTGGAAGAACCAGCTCAGCATGGTGCTCTGGCATCCGTCTGCATCACACGATGCCAGCGGCGAGATGACACCAGTGGTACCATCAATGGTGTAGAACCCCATGCCGAAGAAGCCGTCCGTCCCGATGAAGCCGTTAGCAGGTGTGCCCTGGCTGCCATAGGCAAAAGCCCAGCCAAAGATCCACCAGCCCAATGTGCCCACCGTAACCTCTCTTTCTCAACAACGGGGCCCAAAAAAAGTTCAAACTCTCAAAGATAAACCGGAATACATCGAGCCAAAAGTTGGAAGCTCTCCCATTGGCTAGGCAACATTGACCAAGTTCTTCATCAAAACGTTGGATGCGTTCTTTGCGCGGCAGCTGCCGGTCTCCAACATTGCGAAGCCAGCATGCATAAACATGACGAGAGCACCGCAGAGGCACAGCCAAGCGGAGTCCATTGCACCGCCCATGCTGTACTGCGTGTTCTTCAGCGCTGCGACCTGCTCCAAAAAAACAGCTTCACTGTCATGCAACAGCATGTTCTACCCAGAAAGCCCGCCTCAGCATCAAATGTAGCTGTCGTCAGCAAACCTGCTGTTTGAAGCCTGCGAGGGGACGCCAACGTCTCGAAGCGCTCCTGTTGCTCCTCGCATTGACATGTGTTAGAGATTGCGACAAAGCTTCGGGCTTAGGCTTCACGGCCGTTGCTCCCGCTTCGTCCTTGATCAGCTGCCTTTGGGCCAACACTTCGGCACGCAAAGACTCCATCTCGTTGAAGACATCGGCACTTGCGCTCGCCAGGCCAACCTAAGCATCGGGGCCCTTCACCTCTCCCAGTGATACCAAAAAAGCGGCCAAGGCACAGCGAAGACCAGGCAGCCTTTCATTCTGACCTGCTCAGCTGCTCCGGAGGCAAGCACTGCAGGCTTTGAGATGCAGGCGTCAAGCGTCACCTCGGCAGCTGATCGAAAGCACCTGGAGGAGCGGGATGTGCTCACGAATTCTGATTGCGAAAGGAAGCAAAGTGTCGCCTCCCCGTGCGCGATTTGCGAGCTGTTTCGAGCCAAGGTCTGCAGAATCTGCGAGTCGGCCGGCAATTCCCGCACCCGCCGCACTCTATCAGTAGCTCCTGTGCATCATTCCAAGAATAGCCTTTGTAAATTCCGCAAGAGGGTTTCTGAACTCTGAACATTCAGAACTCACGGTGCCACGCAGGCTTCGCCAATGGTGGCAACCGTCGAGCAAACTGTTCAACGCGGGGAACTTGCCTTGCAAAAGCTGCATCATCGAGCATATCTCGATCGCTAGCATTCATTATCTGACTGGTCTCAGCCTTTGCAGAAGTGGCAGTCCGTAGAAGTACAGTCAGCGCGGGCACTTGGACTCTCTTCGGCTGAGTCATGAAAGCTTGTCACAGTTTGCCTTGTCGCAAAGTGCCCTACTTCATCGGCAAATCTCACGCTGTGTTTAGCACAAGATGCCAAAATCGGGGAAAAGGTGTCTCCCAGCTTCTGAGCAGCTCCACTGCTCTTGAGCTGAAGTCTTGCTAGCTAAAAGCAGCTAAATTCCTCTCTACCTCGTTTCAGTCAGTGGTCTTTTCTTACTGCATGGCATAAGCCTTGGGTGGCGAGTGGCTCTGGGTGTCGATGCCCACGGCTTCCACCTCCTCGGAGATGCGGAGGAGGCCCGTGAGCCTGAGGACGAGGAAGGCGAGGCCAGAGAGTGTGCCGGACCAGAGGATGACGAAGGCGATGAGGGCGAACTGCGCGCCGATGGCGTCACCGCCCAATCCGGTCTTGCAGGCCGTGCCCTCGGTCACGCAGCCCCATCCTGGATACAACACAGCTGAAGGAAATCTGCGAAGATTTTGTTCTTGATTACTCTTACCAAACAAAACCTGAGCCTGTCATAGCCTGTCATAGCCTGTCCTGACCAACCGTGGTACTGGTCAATGCCCTTGCCCCAGTCGAGGAAGCCGGCCGCGAGCACGCCCCAGATGCCGCAGAAGCCGTGCACCGGGCTGGCATCCACAGGGTCGTCGATCTTCAGCTTCTGCAAGAGCATGGACGAGCCCTGGTACACGAAGGCACCAACCAATCCGATGGCGAAGGCGCTGCCGCACTCCACATTGCCGCATCCCGCGGTGATGGACACAAGGCCAGCCAGGATTCCGTTGCAGAGGCCTCCGACATCGTACTTCTTCGTGATGACATAACGCAGCAGGAAGACCGTGATGCCGCCGGTGGCAGCAGCCAATGTGGTGTTCATGGCCACTTGTGCTGCCAAAGCTCCTGTAGCCCCGTCGTGCATCCCCAGCGTGGAGCCCGGGTTGAAGCCATACCATCCGAACCAGAGTGCAAAGGTGCCCAACACCACCAGGGGCAAGTTGTGGCACTCGAACTCCTCCGGATTCTCGAAGCGACCCTTGCGCGGGCCGAGCACAATAGTGCCTGCCAGAGCACTCACACCGCCCGTCAAGTGGACCACCCCGCTGCCCGCGAAATCCATGTAGCCAACTGAGGTGATGGTGGCCAAGAATCCTCCACCCCACGACCATGCGACGATGATCGGGTAGATAAAGCTCGCCATGAAGAAGGCGTACACCGCGTAAGTGGGGCTCTTCACACGCTCCGCCACGCCACCACTCACGATGGTCGCGCCGGCCGTACAGAAGGCCCACTGGAAAAACCAGCTCAGCATGGTGCTCTGGCATCCGTCCGCATCACACGATGCCAGCGGCGAGATGACACCAGTGGTAGCATCAATGGTGTAGAATCCGATGCCGAAGAAGCCGTCCGTCCCGATGAAGCCGTTTTTTGGTGTTCCCTGGCTGCCATAGGCAAAAGCCCAGCCAAAGACCCACCAGCCTAGCGTCCCAACACACACATTCCTCAGAGCAGTTTTTTTTTTTCTCAGAGCAGCCCAAGCAAAAATGCACATGCTCTCATGGCATGAAGAAGCCTGTCTACTTAAGCTCGATTGCTTCGAGAATACAGAAATGACTTCTGGCCTAGCTTCACCAAGTTCTTCATCAAAACGTTGGAAGCATTCTTCACGCGGCAGCTGCCGGTCTCCAACATTGCGAAGCCAGCATGCATAAACATGACAAGAGCACCGCAGAGGCACAGCCAAGCAGAGTCCATGGCACCACCCAGGCTGTAATCCGTGGCTTGCAAGGCGGCCACCTGAAAAGGGGCCAAAGGGGCAATGGCTGGAGTGGAGTAAACGGTAAATTCTCGGAGTTGGAGGACCCGGGACGGGACCCGCACCTGCGTGTTGAACTCCGTTCGGGTCACCCAGCCGCTGGTCTGCAGCTGCCGGGAATCCCGCAGCGCCAAGATCTCGGCACGTTGCTCCTGAGACGATAAACTGTAGAATGAGACAACAGCTCCGAAAGGACGCATGCGGCAAGTCTCCTCCAAGGAAGCCTGGCGCTCGCGGATTTCGGCTCGAAGGGCCTGCACCTCTGCCAAAAGCGACGTGTCCTCTGCAAGAGCGACCTCAGCCAGCTGTGCAGATGCGATGGCAGTTGTCACAGCCTTGAACAAGTGGCAGCAGCTTCTAAGATCGGGACAGCGAGTGCCGCAACAAGTGTCGCAACGGAGAGCTTCGTCATGCTTCGCCTGATAACTGTGGCAGCAAGTGCCTCGAGGGTTGACACGCAGCACCTTTCTGTAAGGTCCTGACACACACCGATACCCGGCCAGGAGAATAATGAAAGCTAAGTGCTTGGGCCAGGACAGCTCGAAAGCATCGGTTTTGCTCTGTCTCTGTAGCAAGCACCATGGACGGCAGCCGAAGCGAGGAAACCCTTTCTCAGATGAGGCCCACTGCTAGGGCATACTGTATACTCAGTGCACGAGCTGCTGGCTCGGCCAGAGCTGCAACGAAAATGACGCAGTGATTCGTTGGAGGGATGGTGCACCCTTGGTGCTTCACACCCTGACAAAGCGCGGATGCTCTGTGCCTGCATGGGCTGGGTCTATTTCCCAGCCCGGCGCGAAAGCCCAGGCATCGGTGGAGGTCTGACATAATCCTCTTGCCCCAACGAATCTTCACGAACCCTGCAGAAACAAAGCATTTATCGCAGTCTGTGGTCACAAGATGGAGGAAGCAAAGATTCGCACAAAGCACCAGGACAAGCCTGGTCGGAAGCTCCACTTCCGACTCTTGGCAAGGTCTTCTCCCATGCAGCGACCGCCCGTCTCACCAAATCATGCTTCCCAAGCGCCCTTTGTCGGTACGACGCTAACGTTGCCAGCGCCAGCAGGCTGCCCTGCAGCGCTGAGCGAGTAGGCCTTGGGTGGCGAGTGGCTCTGGGTGTCGATGCCCACGGCTTCCACCTCCTCGGAGATGCGGAGGAGGCCCGTGAGCCTGAGGACGAGGAAGGCGAGGCCAGAGAGTGTGCCGGACCAGAGGATGACGAAGGCGATGAGGGCGAACTGCGCGCCGATGGCGTCACCGCCCAATCCGGTCTTGCAGGCCGTGCCCTCGGTCACGCAGCCCCATCCTGGATACAACACAGCTGAAGGAAATCTGCGAAGATTTTGTTCTTGATTACTCTTACCAAACAAAACCTGAGCCTGTCATAGCCTGTCATAGCCTGTCCTGACCAACCGTGGTACTGGTCAATGCCCTTGCCCCAGTCGAGGAAGCCGGCCGCGAGCACGCCCCAGATGCCGCAGAAGCCGTGCACCGGGCTGGCATCCACAGGGTCGTCGATCTTCAGCTTCTGCAAGAGCATGGACGAGCCCTGGTACACGAAGGCACCAACCAATCCGATGGCGAAGGCGCTGCCGCACTCCACATTGCCGCATCCCGCGGTGATGGACACAAGGCCAGCCAGGATTCCGTTGCAGAGGCCTCCGACATCGTACTTCTTCGTGATGACATAACGCAGCAGGAAGACCGTGATGCCGCCGGTGGCAGCAGCCAATGTGGTGTTCATGGCCACTTGTGCTGCCAAAGCTCCTGTAGCCCCGTCGTGCATCCCCAGCGTGGAGCCCGGGTTGAAGCCATACCATCCGAACCAGAGTGCAAAGGTGCCCAACACCACCAGGGGCAAGTTGTGGCACTCGAACTCCTCCGGATTCTCGAAGCGACCCTTGCGCGGGCCGAGTACAATAGTGCCTGCCAGAGCACTCACACCGCCCGTCAAGTGGACCACCCCGCTCCCCGCGAAATCCATGTAGCCAACTGAGGTGATGGTGGCCAAGAATCCTCCACCCCACGACCATGCGACGATGATCGGATAGATAAAGCTCGCCATGAAGAAGGCGTACACCGCGTAAGTGGGGCTCTTCACACGCTCCGCCACGCCACCACTCACGATGGTCGCGCCGGCCGTACAGAAGGCCCACTGGAAAAACCAGCTCAGCATGGTGCTCTGGCATCCGTCCGCATCACACGATGCCAGCGGCGAGATGACACCAGTGGTAGCATCAATGGTGTAGAATCCGATGCCGAAGAAGCCGTCCGTCCCGATGAAGCCGTTTTTTGGTGTTCCCTGGCTGCCATAGGCAAAAGCCCAGCCAAAGACCCACCAGCCTAGCGTCCCAACACACACATTCCTCAGAGCAGTTTTTTTTTTTTTCAGAGCAGCCCAAGCAAAAATGCACATGCTCTCATGGCATGAAGAAGCCTGTCTACTTAAGCTCGATTGCTTCGAGAATACAGAAATGACTTCTGGCCTAGCTTCACCAAGTTCTTCATCAAAACGTTGGAAGCATTCTTCACGCGGCAGCTGCCGGTCTCCAACATTGCGAAGCCAGCATGCATAAACATGACAAGAGCACCGCAGAGGCACAGCCAAGCAGAGTCCATGGCACCACCCAGGCTGTAATCCGTGGCTTGCAAGGCGGCCACCTGAAAACGGGCCAAAGGGGCAAATGGCTGGAGTGGAGTAAACGGTGAATTCTCGGAGTTGGAGGACCCGGGACGGGACCCGCACCTGCGTGTTGAACTCCGTTCGGGTCACCCAGCCGCTGGTCTGCAGCTGTCGGGCATCCCGCAGCTCTGCAAGGATCAACTTGTTCTCCTGCTGGGAGCAGGCATGAAACAGTGCTGACTAGTCCTCAGCATTTTCTGTTGAACGACGGATCGAACGACAACAGTAGCACAAGACTTGCCATGCAAGCTTACAGTAGGCTTAGGCTGCACCCGCATGCCTCGAAAAGCTCTCTCTGCGCGAGGACCTGGGCCTTTAGCGTCTCGACCTCTTGGCGAAGATCTTCGCCCTTCACAACCGCAGCCTGTCCCGAGCCGTCATGCCGCTATGCTAAACTGCTAAGACCCCTGCCATCGAGCTGAAGTCTGAATCTGAGGTACGGGCTCCCACGAGGCAAGCAAGAATTTTGCCCCGCATCTTCGCCTGGAACGGAGCGATGAAGACGAGTGAAACTCTGAAAAAACACAACCAGGGCCACGACTAAAATGTGTTGGGGGGCGGCTGTATCGAGACTGCAAGCTTCGAGCCCAAATCACGACGAAACACGGCAAAGAAGCCCTCTCTCAGGCAGTGAATGCTTTCAAACTTCAATGAGCAGCTCAAACTCCTTGTGCCAAGGTGCAGAGAGGTAAAGAGTTGTGCAGGCTGTGCTGTGGTCTGCCGCATGCGCGTTGTGAACTCTGCCGTTTTGTGCGTGGGGACTGTATGCCGAATTTCTGGTGAGCCCAGTGGTCAACCCACAAGTGGCGTTGACTGGGACAAACCTGAGCGCACGGATGTAGCGCTTCCTCACTCATAGTCGTGGCCCAAAGCCATCTTTTTTGCCGCCGAGCCGCACCTCCTTGCAGTTGTTTCGGATGGAGGTCCGTTTTGACCCTTGTTGTTTGTGGTCCTTCTTTCTTTCTTGGCAGATGTTCTGGTTTTTTAAGCTAAACATGCGATCAGGGTTTTCAGAGTAATCCGGCGAAAGCAAAATATTTGGTGGTGTTCGTAAGGTACACGTGCGCTTAGTGCTTCCGTGCGAAAACAATGCATGCATGCATGCATGAATGCATGAATGCATGAATGCATGAATGCATGAATGCATGAATGCATGAATGAATGAATGCATGAATGAATGAATGAATGAATGAATGCATGCATGCATGCATGAATGAATGAATGAATGAATGAATGCATGAATGCATGGATGCATGCATGCATGCATGCATGCTTGCATGAATGAATGAATGAATGAATGACTGAATGACTGAATGACTGAATGACTGAATGACTGAATGACTGACTGACTGACTGAATGACTGAATGACTGAATGACTGAGTGACTGAATGACTGAGTGACTGAGTGACTGAGTGACTGAGTGACTGAGTGACTGAGTGACTGAGTGACTGAGTGACTGAGTGACTGAGTGACTGAGTGACTGAGTGACTGAGTGACTGAGTGAATGAGTGAATGAGTGAATGAGTGAATGAGTGAATGCGTGAATGCGTGAATGCGTGAATGAGTGAATGCGTGAATGCGTGAATGCGTGAATGCGTGAATGAGTGACTGAATGAATGAATGAGTGAGTGAGTGAGTGACTGACTGAATGACTGAATGACTGAATGACTGAATGACTGAATGACTGAATGACTGAATGACTGAATGAATGAATGAATGAGTGAGTGAGTGAGTAAGTGAGTGAGTGAGTGAGTGACTGATTGAATGACTGAATGACTGAATGACTGAATGACTGAATGACTGAATGACTGAATGACTGAATGACTGAATGACTGAATGAATGAATGATTGAATGAATGAATGAATGAGTGAGTGACCGAATGAATGAATGAATGCATGAATGAGTGAATGAATGAGTGAATGAATGAGTGAATGAATGAGTGAGTGAGTGAGTGAATGAGTGAATGAGTGAATGAGTGAATGAGTGAATGAGTGAATGAGTGAATGAATGAATGAGTGAATGAGTGAATGAGTGAATGAGTGAATGAGTGAATGAATGAGTGAATGAATGAGTGAATGAATGAGTGAATGAATGAGTGAATGAATGAATGACTGAATGACTGAATGACTGAATGAATGAATGATTGAATGAATGAATGAATGAGTGAGTGACCGAATGAATGAATGAATGCATGAATGAGTGAATGAATGAGTGAATGAATGAGTGAATGAATGAGTGAGTGAGTGAGTGAATGAGTGAATGAGTGAATGAGTGAATGAGTGAATGAGTGAATGAGTGAATGAATGAATGAGTGAATGAGTGAATGAGTGAATGAGTGAATGAGTGAATGAATGAGTGAATGAATGAGTGAATGAATGAGTGAATGAATGAGTGAATGAATGAATGACTGAATGACTGAATGACTGAATGAATGAATGATTGAATGAATGAATGAATGAGTGAGTGACCGAATGAATGAATGAATGCATGAATGAGTGAATGAATGAGTGAATGAGTGAATGAGTGAATGAGTGAATGAGTGAATGAGTGAATGAGTGAATGAGTGAATGAGTGGATGAGTGAATGAGTGAATGAGTGAATGAGTGAATGAGTGAATGAGTGAATGAGTGAAGGAATGAATGAATGAGTGAATGAATGAATGAATGAGTGAGACCATGAATATGTGTAAACATGTATATCTGTGTATATGTATATCGGATTCTGTATATCTGTATATATGTACAAATGTATATGTATACATGTATATATGTAGTTTTCTGTTTATGTAGATATGCATGTATATGTATATGTATTTTTCTGTATATGTATACATGCATATGTATGTATGTATATGTTCACAATTCTATATGTCTATATGTCTGTATGTATTTATGTCTATATGTAAATATGCATATATGTGTATATGCATGTATATATGCAAATAGGTACATATGCTTATATGTACATACGGATGTACGTACACATGTAGATATGTACATATGTAGATATGTTTGTATGTATACATGTATGTACTTGTATATATGTAAATACGTATATAATCCTTATACATATGTGTGCGGTACATATACCCGATGAAAATGTACATATACATTCATATACAGACTACATCTGGCACCTTTTGTGTGCATATAAAACTTTGCATACGCAATCTTACTCTAGTAGTGCACACGCATATGTATATGTACAAAGGATGTGTTTACACTAGCTATGCGCAACTATGCTTTGTTGCTATATGTACACTCTGTATTTACATGTACACATACGCACCATATGTGTGCATACACTGCGAAAATTTTATATGTACAGCTATTAGGCTACTGTTGTCTACCTATGTATATATGTAGACAGGTATATATGTATATATGTATGTATGTATATATGTATATATGTATATAGGTATATAGGTATATAGGTATATAGGTATATATGTATATATGTATATATGTATATATGTATATACGTATATGTATATGTGTGTATATATATACATATGTATATATATATATATGTATATATATATATGTATATATATATATGCATATATATATATGTATATGTATATATCTATATATATATATGTATATATGTGTGTATATATATATGTATCTCCGAACTGAAGCCGCCGTTGCTGACACGGCCAAACCCAATCAAGAATGGCCAGGAGTGTAGGTGCTGCACCGTGCAGCTCGAGAGCCTGCAGCGCCAAAGCAGGCCTGACATAGTCAAAGCAAAGCTGGAAATCAAGGGACAGCAGTATGGATTCGTCATCCCAGGCGTCGTCCAATTGCCGGATGGCTTGTTCAGCAGACCGGCCTTGGATGCCTCCATGAAAGGATGCCGGTGCCACCTCGTTGAGCCATGCCCTTGTCTGGTCATGAGACGTCCATGCTGAGATGATCGTGCGGTACACACCACAGAACACCGATATGGGACGCATGCGGCTAGCATGAGCTGTCCCTCCAAGCTTCGCAGCCGCATCTTTCGGCAAGAAAACGGTCCTGCAATGCCGCCACACTTCAGGGAATTGGCCATCATGCTGCCATCTCTGAAGCCTATTACACAGTAGCTCCCAGAAAGCCACCGGCATCCATGCCAACTCCTGGCCTGAGATGCCATCGGGCCCTGCGGTGGAATGCTTAGCGCGCTGAGCACATCGCCAACAATCCTGAGTGTAGTGACCTCATTCACAGTGTCGGTGATAGCGCTTGGCAGTGCGCAGTTGCCACCTTTGAGCCAACTCGTGGTAGCCCGTCCGCCCTGAGCCATACGAGCCCTCCAGTCCTTGAGAGCCTGTGACTTGCGAGCGCGACGCGTGGCCGCAAGCAGGTCACTGGTGGCCACTACAGCTCGGTCGAAAGTGTCTCGACGGATCTCCGTCGGCCATAGTCGGCCTAAGACTTTGTCAAGCTTTTGTATCAAACGTCCCTCGGCTGTGTGACGCCCGGCCGCACGGCCTGTGGGCACCACCTGCTCGGTCTGTGGCAGCGAACCTTTGGGCGGAAGGCGAACCCGGGATTGCGAAGTGGTGCCCTGCATCATTTCACCAGCATGGGAAAGGGAGTTGCTGAGCAAGGCGGTAAGTAACAGCCAGTCCGTCTCCACATCCTCAGTCCACTCGACCTCAGCCTCCCGAAGAAGTGTTGTATTTCATCACGCCAGATCTGATCCGAGACCCCGTCCGGCTTGGCATATCGGGGAGTGGGGGTCAGGATATGGCACGGCTGGCGAGAGAAAACGACCCGCCAACTGAGCTGCAGGATTTTATGGTCTCCCAGCTTCTCCTCGCGAAACTCAGCCTCCATCTGAACTGCGTGGTCGTTGGTCACTGCCCAGTCCAGAGCCCGAGAACCGTCCCACCTAGACGGCACGTAGTTGCCCTCTGCATCCGTGGGTGCGACGAGGCGCAGATCCAGCTCCGGCAGTGCTGACTCGGCCGGCTCATCGTTGAAATCACCGTATGCGACACAGGTGGAGTGCAGGGCCGCGGCTTGTGCAAAGAGTTGCCCTAGCTGCTCGTCAAAAGGCGAGCGGTCTTGGTCCGGCCGCCTCCAGATCCCTACTGCGCGAAAAGACTCATAGTCCAGAGCAATGATATGGCCCGCATCTCCCGACCACTCCGCGACCTGACGACATGGCACGTGTCTGGCCGTGGCAATGCAAAGCCCACCTCGCCAGTAGGCAGTAGCGCCCCTCTGTGCGCTGGTAACAGAAGGGCTCCAGAAAGAGCTGTAGCCAATCACCTGCAGTTTGCGAGTGATGCGAGCCTGGTCAGCGGGTGAGGTGCGCGTCTCAGCAAAACAAATGGCAGAAGGTCGGTCTCTGCCCGCTTGAGCCTCCAGCAGTGCCAGCATGTCATACAGCTTTGCACACCCTCCCAGATTGACGTACCATTGGTCAAAAGGTCGCACCTGCTTATCTGTAGACCGGTCACCTGTTGCAACTTGCGAGGATGCCGATGGGCCCGGATTCGGTTCCACATCTCCATCCGCGGTCACGTCACGGATCCACTGATTGGCAGGTCCCTGCTTCGAGAGAAGACGAAGTCGTGATTGGAGCTGAACATGTTCCAGACATCACACAACTTGCGCCGATTCCGTTGGTCAAATTGTGTGTAGAACTGCGCCCGTTTCGGGCCTAAGGTCTTCAGTCGCTTTTGGCGCTCAGCATGCAAACCATCATCTGATACACAGCGTTGTGTCCACTTCTGCAGTCGATTCACGCGTGCCTTGACCGCAAAGCACCTGGAGCACGTGAAAAAAAGCCGTGGCTCAGGCTCGCACTTCTCGGCACGCAAAAGGGCTCGAGCATCGTGGCCTAACCGCTGCAAACGGGCCCTCTGGCGTAGCACACGTTCCCAAACCTTAATGCTCTGGCTACCACCAGGGGCAAGTTGTGGCACTCGAACTCCTCCGGGTTCTCGAAGCGACCCTTGCGCGGGCCGAGCACGACAGTGCCTGCCAGAGCACTCACACCGCCGGTCAAGTGCACAATGGCGCTGCCCGCGAAGTCCATGTAGCCTTAGTATTTACGATTCTGCTGACAACCTGACACAGGGTTAGTCGCAGCACAAAGTCCACAACTAAAGAGAGAGAAAGAGGAAAACACCCCCCCCTACAACCCCAAACCTAAGCGGCCTCTGCCGCTCGTATCCGTCCCATTTGGGGCAGAATGCGCATCATGTCATGCGTGCCATTACGAAGTGTATGATTCCATCCAAGGCGGCTCATCAAAGGACAAGCTGGTTCAGGAGCAGTGCGGTGAACCGCGAAGCTTTCACACTGCCAAAGCACATGATGAACACTCGGGACAACTCCGATGCCACAGTACGGGCAAACGGTGGGTCGGTCTCGGGCACTGCAGGTAGCCGGTGTTTTCATGCCCCCTAAAGCCACAGCAGCACTGTCGCCAGCATACTGGCCAGAGAGCGCCTGCAAACCCTTTCTGAGATTCTTGCCAAGCTGTTCGTCGTACTGAAGCCCTTGTGCAACACACAGCCGACTGTCGATGCGAGGGGTTGAGAGAAATCGCCGAAAACACTGCTCGCGCCAAGACTCGCGGAGCTGATGCAACGAACTGTTCAAGGTGACTGCACTCGACCTCACGTCAAGGATGTGGCCCTGCCGCTGCCACTGCCCCCAACCGCCAGCAGTCCAGTGGAGCTCGTGCAGCAGGCTCTGGACTTTCGGAAATCCCGGCAGATTAGGCAAGGGAGCATGCCACGAGGACCCTTCAAGCTGCCACCAGGAGCGAGTCGTCGACAAAAACCGCTGCACCGCGACGAACCGCAAATCACAAGCATGGCCCCAGCGAAAACCTTGCTCAAGCGGGCGAGACGCTCTCCCACCAACACGCCCAGAGCCCATGCACGCAGTGCGGAAATCGCGAGTCCACTCATCCGCTTCTTTGGCGTTGAGTAACCACTTGGTCCCAAACCGCTTTGCCAGTCAACATCGACGCCGCGAGTTTCGACCGCATGCTAATAGCAACCGGCAAGGCCGCAATGCGCGCAGCAGTACGAAGAACACCATCACGGCGCTCCAGCTCCTTCGGATGGATCTCGGCAGTCTCGGCTCCGACAACAGCTCCCAAGATAAAACCAACCTGATCACTACGACGCATATGCCAACGCTGAATCTTAGACTCATTATTGCGCATCCTCGACACGTCTTGGAAGCGTGCCCAAAAGGTCTCAACTTGGCGGCGCTGCGCCTCAGTACGGAGGAAGGAGGTGCGGTCATCGACATACAAGTAGTGCAAACCCGCCGGGACAACACTCCGCAGTTTAGCAAGCACAGGGCCAAGATAGCAAGCAAGGGCCAAGACCCCCACCCCCTTAGACGGGGGGGATGCTCATATTGTAATTTAGAATTTGAGCCCCCCTAATTTGCGGCACTCCTCGGACGCCACTTATGCAAATTGTAAAATAAAAGCGGTTTACAATTATGCGCCTCCTCTACCATTTTACATTTTTAAGAGGGCGGGAGTGGGCCAAGGGCGACCACGGGTCTCCCTGCGCACGGCCAGTGGCATGATGGACCCAAGACGGCGCAACCGACCAATTCAGCGAGAACAGACGTTGCTGATGAGCCCATTGGTACTGCAAGGTAGAAACCAACCACTGCGGCATGCCCCACTCGAAAGACCATCAACGAGACACTCCAGCTCGCACGGTCAAACGCTTTCTCAACGTCAAGGGAAACGGCAACATGACATCTGTGAGCCTGGGACCGAGCCTGGATGTCAACCAAGAGCGTGTGAGCATTGTGGCCACCAGTACCACCAGCATGACCACTGCAAAGGCAGGCGCGAACGCAATTGGCCGCGACCTTGGCACGACAAGTAGCCCATAATCTATAAACAGCAGGGCCAACAGAGATGGGCCGCAGCTTCATCACTGAGGTAGCCTCAGGTCGACTCTGCTCCTTCGGAATGAAGACAGTACGCCACATCAGTAGCGCCTGCGGCCACTTCTGGAACACACGGAGCGGGGACGGTCTGCTTGACCCACGCACAAGCTCCACTGAACGTGGAAACGCGCTGTTTCCACTTGCCAAGCTTTTGTTTTTGCACTTTAGCAATGCACTTGGTGAGGTGGCACCTGGCGGCATGCTCAAGGGCGCTCCAATCTTTGCTATCAACCAACTGCGCAAACTCAGAGGCTCTTAGCCAGGGCGGTCAGGGCCCTGGCAGGGTCCTTGGTCATGGTCTTGAGGAATCTAGGCAACTGAGGCAATCGAAGTGCCTTCGCATGCTCAATGGCGTTTGCTCCCGGAGACGAATTCTTGGGAGCATGTGCACAACGGCGCAAATGCCTTTTAACCGAACTTGCGTACACAGCCGTCTCCAGCTTCGGAAGACCCTCCCGGCCCCCCAAACCATCTAAACTATCTAAACCGGCCTGCCCGGACTAGCCCAAACCAGCTAAACCAGCTAAACCGGCTAAACCAGCTAAACCATCTAAACCCACCTGGATTAGAAGGTTTAGACGGTTTAGCTGGTTTAGCTGGTTTGGGCTCCCCGCCCGGCCCCCCAAACCAGCCAAACCATCTAAACCCAGAGGGTTTAGAGGGTTTAGACGGTTTAGCTGGTTTAGCTGGTTTAGCTGGTTTAGCTGGTTTAGCTGGTTTGGGCTCCCCGCCCCGCCCCCCAAAGGCGGACCCAGAGCAACACATTATACAGAAAGGTTCCTCTTACATATATATATATATATATATATATGTATGTGTATATGGTTGCGCCCGTCGGGCCCCACCCCTCCCCCCCCTCCCCCCCCTCCCCCCCCTATGGTATCCTGTCAAGTACTCATCTATATTTTCATGAGTAATCGACGTGTATTCTCCCCACCCCCCTGTGGAACGGCATGGTTTGCCTTTTCTACTTCCCCCCCCCCTGTGGAACATCATGGTTTGCCCTATGTCCCCCCCTGTGGAACAGGATTGTTCTCCCTTTTGCTCTGAGACACACACACACACACCGCGTGTTTGTGTATGTATGGCAATCTCCGCACATGCTCTACTGCTAAGCCTCCGTTCCATTCTTTGGTGTGCGGTTTTCTGCTGCTGCGAAATGCGAACTTCGCTCCGGTTTTCCAACTGTGCGTGCGGGCCAGGGAGGAAGTAGAACCTCCCCGTGTGGAACGGGATGGTTTTCCGTTTTGCCATACACACACACAACCATGTTTTTCTGAATGTAGCTTGTTTACTACTACCCCTTGGAACACCAATAATCTAACGAAGTATTGCCTACAACCCTTTAACTGCACGAATAATCTGAAGTATCTGACGAAGTATTGCCAAAAGAACCCTTACTACGACTTTTACATTAGAACCTTGCTTAGAGCCCCTCGGTACGTGAATAATGTTACAAAGTATTGCCTGGAACCCTTTTCTGAGGAATTTTACATAGCCTCGCTTCGAAATTTTGGGACACGAGTAACCTTGCTGAGTGTCGCCTAGAACATTTTGCTTACTGCTCACAGGAAGCCCTGCTTGGAGGCCTTCGGAGTAGAACAAATTGTATTCAGTTTTGCTTCGAAACCCTATCTTTACTGTGGAAATTACGCGGGTGCGTCGCGGGCGGGGGTGCAATACGCGGTGCGGCGCGCCTGTAGCGCGAGTCCTCCAGGCCTCCAGGCTTCAGGCCCTTGTAGTTGGGGGGGGATACCATTAGGGGGGGGAGGGGGGGGGGGGGCCGAGAACGCACAGCGCACAACCATATATACATACATTTCGCACTTTCCGCGTAGCAGAGTTCGATGCTCGGCTGTCGCTACTGGAGGACAGGCATGTAGCCCGGCTGCGCTGTGTATTTGACACATCCTCCCCCACATCCAAAAGTTCGGTAACCCCAGAGAGCAACTCTGGCCCTCGGCACTACTGCCCTTGAGCAGGGCCGGTCACAGGACGTACAGTATAAGTAAGGATATAGACATCAGAAGAGTAAGAGTCGATAGTAGAGCCATCAACACGAGTAGCCTCAACAGCATCATCAGTCAACCAGAAACTGGAATTGTACCAATCATAAAGTAGTGTCCTATAGTGACCGTGAGTTGGGGCTTCGCCCAAGTGCAGCACCACTGAGTTGAGGTGCAGATGCACACTACGACATTGCAGGCCTCGTTCAAACACCGGAAAATGAATCTCAGCACTCGGAATAACCCTATAGCGACGCTTCAGAGGCCTTCCCGATTGGCTGTCGTAGTGAAAACGGCTAACCTGCAAAATGATTGCATGCGGAGGCGGCCAAGCAGCAAAAACCTCATCTTGATTGTGCCACACTTGCACAAGATCCTGAACCGTGTAAGCGTTCCCACTATCAAGACTAACATCACAAGGAGGCACAAGAGTCAAGGGAACAGAGTATCCAAGATCCTGGATAAGGTGATTGCCCGCTGCAGCCGCAGACCTGGCTTGCCAGGATAGTGCTACTTTATCAAAATTGATGAACGGACACTTGGTCAGAAAGGCGAGGAACTCCGCCACATCATGTTGTCGGGTGGGTTGTGCCCACCCTTCCATCATGGAAATCCACTCCCCTTGCTCCCACAGGTGGAAGATTTGTCCTGCAGATTGAAGGATGGCGCCAACCACTCGTGCAGCATCCCCACTGAAGAGTGATGGTCCCTCCATGCTGCAGTCAAGAGAAAGCAGGCTCATCATCAGCGCATTCGCATAGCAGAAGCAATGCTTATTCCCCAGCTGGACACACTTCACTGTGTCAATGTGGAGAGGCGTTTTGCCAAAGCACTCATCTGTAGTCGCTCGTGCCTCAGGAAGCATCCTCCTGAGGCCCAAACCGCTGATCGCTCCAGTAGGTGTAGCATCCTCCACGTTGACTGGGCAGCTTCGGTCCGCATCCCCACCTCCAGGAACATGGTGATCACCGGTGACTGATATTCCGCCGCCAATTGGCGAGTTGCATGGAACCGCTGGATGACAAGCTGTTGGGGGGCACACGTCAGGAGTTCGTCCAATGCCTCCTCGATCTCCACGACATCCAGGCTCGCGATGGTCTCGTCCTGGACATGCGCCTGCTGCGTTGTATCCCACTTGAGGCCGTGGACTTTCCGGCCGCAGCTGGATACCCATCCCAGGCTCTCTGCCTTGGATCGTGAGGAGGGTGTCCGCATCATCGCCTGAAACCGTTCCTTGATTGTCTGGACAAAGTGCTGGTATAACGTGACCCGCATGGGATGTCGCAGGGCAGTGGGATTGTCCCGCTTGGTGTCGTGCCACGTCTTGCCGATCTGGTACATCGACTGGGCCAGGTTGTCCGGCACCTGAGTCTGGACAAACACCATGAACCCGGTGTCCTGCCTCTGGATGTTCTGCTGCACCTCCTGGCGGATCACGAGGGTGGAGACCATGTTCAGGACATTCTTGATCTCCTGGAGCTCCGCCCTCGACAACTCCATCTTGTCCCCGTCCGCCTGCCACGAGTGGTTGCCCGATGACGCCTGAGGATTGCCGTTGTTTCTCCAGGAGTTGTTGGAGCGTGAGGCTGGGCCGAACTGGGGATTCCTGCCCTTTCCTTTTTGGCCGCCCTTTTGGCCGCCCTTTTGGTCGGGCTTGTGCCACTTGGGCTGACGTCCTTCCGGCTTGTCCCGCCGGCTGGGCATGTCCTTGTCCTCCGGGTCGGTCTCCATGTGCCACTCCATTGGCCGTCGCTCCTGAGACCCCTGAGGCCCCATTGCCCCCATCCCTGCTTGCTGGTTCACAAGGTTTCGTAGAAGACTCAGCTCGTGGGTGGCTGCCGTCAGTTCCGAGGGGATGGCCTGCTCGGGTCGCATCAGCATGTTGTCGAACATGGCAGTGCAAAGCCTCCGGTCGGATGTCCGAAATGGCGAGTGACTTTCCTCTGGCCAGTCTGCGGTGCAAGTAGACGCCATTAAACACTCCAACGCAAGCCCTCAGATGTGCATCCTTTCTACGAAACGATTGTCCACAGAATTGACATGGGTTGGACAAGCTGAGTTTACTGGCAACGATTTCCTTGATGCAGCTCTCAACGATCTCCTGGTACTCCGGGTGCCGTTGTTTCATATGTCTGCGCACATACTGTGGAGAGGTGCTCCAGTGGTGGCATTCTAAGCAATGGTGGTGTTTACTCTGCACACAAGGAAGTAGGGCCAACTCTTGCCAAGTACAGTACACCGAATTAGCAAGCACCACTGGTGACGCGATCAAGGCCTCCGTGATCTCTGGCAAGACACTAGCCTGAGCCTCTGGGTTTTGGGACAAGGCTCTGAGGGCAGCACAGCTCTTGGAGTTGATGTGATAATGGAAGGCATGCCACGTGCTAAAGGCATGCAGGCAATGCTTGCATTTAGGCATTCCGTCAAGGGCATGTGCCATTTCCGCGCCCTTAATGGACTCCTTGACTTCCGCAGACCTATCCAGTTGTTGCTGTTGACTAAGATGCGTCAGAAACACATGCCGACGGAGAGCAGCTTGAGTGGCAAACTCCTGTCCACAATCGTCACACTTGAAGATCTCGGAGAGTACTTCCTGAACCTCTTCTAGCCGGGCCGCGGGGGTAGTAGTTGGGTCAGAGGCAATTGTGTCAGGTAGAGCCCACTCATTCCGTCCATCAAAGAGATGCCCTCTCACAATGGTCCGCCACTGCAGTTGACCTGGGCCAGGGGCCAGGACCGGGGAGAGGGTTTCGTCCAGGGTCACACGCTGCATAAGGGCGTGCTGAAGCCGCTGCACTGGGTCCGGGAGACGGAGTCGCCGAATGAAGTCTTGGTTGGTCTCCTTTGTCAGCATGCTGTGAGATTTGGCAATAGCACGGGCCTGCTTGATGAGCTGTGTCTGTAGAGTTTGGAGCTCCTTCTGAGGGAGTCCCGTGCAGTCCAGAGCATGGAAGAGAGCCGGCCATACGCATCCCTGCCAAAGTTGCAGGCGAAGTCGTAGGGGCACTCCACGGTTGCGAAGTATCACCCCCAGCCTGGACAAGGTGCATCTTGCCAAAGATAATCTGTGCTTGAAGGTGTCCTGTTCAAAGTGCCGAAAGCCGACCACCGCACCCAAGTACACATGCTTAGGCACAATCTTGAGGTACAGAGTTTGATCAGCAATGACAAAGCGGAAGCACTTGCCTTGGGGTCGCTCGACGGTATATCGAGCTAAAGCTCGAGCGGCTTGGGCACCCTGCAGTTCCAGGATAACTACCGTTTTATCCTGACTGATGAGCATACCAGCATTGAGGAGGCAGGCCAGGACGTGTTTCATTCCAGCATAGGCAACCTCGAGGTCTTTGCCTTCGCGAATGGTCCATCGGTAGTGCTGGTCGTCTGCGTAGCTTGTATTTGTCTCATGGACATTCAAGAGCTGAGGGTCATGCATCCGCTTAAGCATCCAACCTGAAAAGATAGCCCACAACGTGGGCGACAAGCTGCAACCTTGTCTCAGCCCTCTTTTGAGGGAGACCGTTTGCTTCAACCCACAGTGTTGCAGGGCCAATTTCGCTGAGTGGTGAACCAGCATGATGAGCTGTATAAGTGGTTCCGGGATGGCGGCATCGATCAGGGCCAGCCTCAGCAGGGGCCATTGGACCAGATCATATGCCGACGTCAGATCTAAGGACAATTGACATCCGCCGTAGAGGCTCAGGCTGGTCCGGCCCGAACGCTTGTTGTGAATATTGCGGGTGTTGCCTTGCACAAGTCCTCTGACCTGAGCACAGTGTCCAAGTACTCGTTCAAGTGCTTGTTGTAAGGTACGTCCCTCCACATAGGCGAACTGTGGAAGTGAAGCAAGGTATGCCTTGGCGGGCTCCTTGAGTCGCTGTGCCACGATCGAGGCCAGTATCTTGGCCTCGGGAGCCAAAAGCGAAATTGGTCGAAGGTGGGCAGGAGACTTCAATGGTTTGCCTGGTTTAGGCAATAGTACCAGTTCACATAGGGTCCAGGCTTCTGGGAGGTTGCTGACGCCAGGCCGGAGGTGCCATGCAAATTGCCGCTGCAACAATGGAACCAGGTCCTGCCGAAAACGTTTCCACAATGCAGCCGGAGCATTGCAGGAAGGCATGGCCTTACCAGGTTGCAGGCGGCACAGGGCATTGTCAATCTCCACTCCTTCAATGCACAGATCTGCTGACAGCTGGGGCGGTTCCATATCTGCAGCATGGTACAGTGACGTGAAGTGCTGGACAATTTGTCGGAATTCAGCCTCGTGGGTCTGTAAGCCACCATCTTCTCGGCGGAGTTGGATCCTGCGTTTGGGTGTCTTTGGGGCAAACCGTTTGGCAGCTTGATGGATGTTGGTGGCCTGGACAGCCTCGGCCACCTTCTCCGTTTTCTTGTGGCGGCAGGCTTTCCGGAGGGCACGGGTATGTGCCTGTAGTCGGGCGGCACATGCCCAGACTTGGAAGCTGTGTCGCAAGGAGGGTCCTGCTCTGCTCCAGGTATGTAGCAGTCGGCCCGCCTGTCGAAGAGCAGCCCGTTGTGTCCATAATGTGTGGACCTGTACTGTCAGTGTGTCGGGAGCACACTGTTGAGCTGGTCGGTGGGCCTCCTTGTGGGATGGCTGGTTGGCGACAGCGCGCTTCCACCCTGCAAGGATCAAAGCATCAAAGTTCCAATCCTCCACCCCTTTCTGAGTCTCGTCGCGGAGAGCCTGATGTAGGTCGAGCTGCAGGTTGTGCACAAAGTGGGGCTGTTTCAGAGCTGCCTGAACCAGGCGCGGGGCTAGCCGATGTTGTCGGGGCCCAGTGGATGGTCGCCTGGGAGCTGGGATCGAGGCCCGAACTGGTAGGTGTCGACAGCCTGTGTTTGGGACAAACTCAGCAAGGAATGGCTGGGCTTTCTTGGCAGTGGGGTCCGGCGTAGTGCCACGAACAAGGATGTAGTCAATCTGGGATCCCTGCTGAGGTGTGGCATTCGGCGGGACATATGTCCTGGCCAAGAGGCCCGAAGCAGACCAGGTATTAAGAGCACAGCAACGATGGGCACGTACCAATTCTTGGAAGGTGTCCTGATCTGGATGTCCTCCATGTGTGGTAACCACACCCTGTCCGCAAAAAGCTGGTTCCGGGAGGAGTGAGCAATTGAAATCACCAGCGAGGAGACAGGTGCAGCGTTGAGGGATGGACTCGATCCACTTAGCAATGCGGTGCCAAATGTGGCGTCGTTGTCGCAACATCTCCTCCTGCCGGTTTTTCCCATTGAGCTCTGCTTTCCCAGGGTTCCATGCCCATTGATAAATGCAAAGGACATCTAGTGGTACAGTAAAGAGAATCCGCACGTGCAACAGCCGGCCTGGTTCCACCACGTGGTAGCGGATATGGTCGGAAGAAATGAGATCCTCACGAACTAGGCATAAGATACCATCGTGTCCCCGCCCGGCACTGTGAATGGCATGCCACCTGAGCGGTTTGGAGCCTTCCAGTGTCGCCACGTACTCAGAGTCCATGGGCCATCCAGTTTCCTGAACGACACAGATGTCATACACACGTCCAGCTTGGTTCTCATTTTGGAGCCAGACCAAAAGTTCTTTGTATCTGATGCCGTTAAGCCCCCCACTGTTCCAGCTGAGAAGTCGAAGTCTGGGGGCCTGTCGGACAGGTAGACCGTCATTGGCGGTACGTCGTGTGTGTTGTTGCAGCGATCCTGGTTTGGGATCCGAGGTCCCAGGAAGGTATCCTCGGAGCTGTTCCGCAGAAAGCTGCTTGCCTTTGTACCAAGTGGTGCGAGTAGCACTAAGCTCGACACGTGCAAGTGCACGGCGAAAAGCCCGTTTCCGAATGGGTGTGGGGCCACTGGGTGATGGCCGGGATGAGTGACGAGATGCACTCGAATGCTTCGCCCTGGCATGGGCTGGTGATACAAGAAGTGAGGCTTCAGAACCCCTGCGGTGCTCAGCGGGTTCAACCCTCGCATCAGAAGTGGCATGTGTGAGCGTAATCAAGTGAAGAAGAACAAGGCCCCAAAGGATCCAAGTGTGCAACCTCATGCCACTCCCCTGGGACTTGGGACCCAGGCGGCTCGCGTTGTTCGATGGTGCTGGGCGTGGTCGTGGATATAGCCGGTGGTGCCTGTGGGAGTCATCGCATCCAGCAGCTTTAAGACACGTCTGTGGGGGACAGGTAGTGTCATCGCCGAGGGCAAGGCCATCGTAGACACCCTGGGTGGCCAAAAGGAAGTGTACGAAGATCCGACCGAGCCTCAGGACGGGAGATGCCACTATCATTGTCACACACAATGTGGTACGGAGTAAGGCCGCCCGCCATGTACACAAGGATGAGCGCATTCGGTACCTGGCCAGTGTTGAGGTAGCACCGCTCATATACTGCTGGGATGGGTGTCCAACTGGCTTTGACACATAGGCGCTCTGCACGGACTTTTTGATCATCTGGTGAGTGCCGTGCACAAGTGTAGTGACGTATGCAGCGAGAACACAGAAGCAGGGCTGGAGGCTCCGAGGCCGGAGGCCCATGGCCAAAATCGCACACAAACTGTGGTTGAGTGCATGCCTGCCCTCTGACACACCTAGGCGCGGCCTACTCAGTCTGGTCTCTGGGGCGCCTGAGCACCAGCTGGGGTTTGGGCAGAATGTTGAAAAGTGAGTCAGAGCATGCGGTGTCAACAACCATTGGGACAAATGAGGTCGGGACTTGCGATTGGCTTTGGGCTTCGGCGTCGGGCTCTGCATGTTGTTGCTATTGTCGCCGCCTCCCAGTCTTGAGCTTCGAGTGTTGGATCCCGTAGCTGCCGATCGCCTGGTAGAGCTCATAGTGGACCCGCTAGCCGTGCTTGGGCCTGTTGTGGTGGCTCCCGCGTCCGTCTCCTCAAGGGCATCCACGGTGCCCTCCTCGGCGGCGGCATCGCCTTCAGCCTCTCCATCATCCATATTCCACACCGCCCACGGGTGATCTTCTCCCCTTGGGGGAAGCCGGGACACATGTACTCCCAGGCATCCTCCTTCCAAGGCTCCTTGGTCCACATCGGTGAGGACAACTTCCATCTGGAAGCCCACTTCGCTGAGCGTCTGGATGATGGCGCCGGAGACCCGCATGGATACCGCACCTTGGATTCGTACCCTGCTTTCGCGAGCCTCCCGGACAGCCTGTGGTTGTTCACCGGTATTGGAGGAGGGGGGCCTCGTGGGGCCTCCCAAATGCGAGGCCGAGCCGAGTGACTCTCCTCATCGCCCTCCGCAGGGCTCCAGGCATCGCCATCCGCGGTGTCATTGGGGTCCTCCATGCCAGCCCGTCGACCTGTCGGAAGCCAATCCCAAAAACTTTGAGCCCACTTCGCGGTCAAGCGGGGAGTGATCTGAAAACGAACTGCCTTCCACATGCACAGACTGCACTGTAGGATTAGCCACCATGGTAGAACATGTCTGGGGCACGAAATGTGCCGGGTGTCAGGGTTCACAGGAGGCCGCACCTGTAGAGCGATGGCCAAGCCACATTGAGAGACCAACAGGCTGGGATAGGCTATCAGGATGACAAGGGGGAGTAACAGCAGCCCAAGCACCTGCCAGTGCCAGCCCGAAGGGGGCGATCGCACTGCCTTCTTGTAGGCACCACGCAGGGCTCGGGAGAGCCCGATTGCCATGTTGTGCTCAGTCCATCCTATCAAGGTAAACAGTATTGCACAGATCAGCAGCGTAGGCACCTTCCAGAGCACTGGCAGCAAACCTATGGTCAATGCAGTACGTCCTGTGCAGAAACTCCGGTTTGCGGTCGGGTTCGAGCCAGTTCCAAGCTTGCAGCCAGACCACATAAGACCCTTCACGGAGCCACCGGACCCCAAACGTGTTCTGAAGTTCAGTGCGACGTGCAACAGGAAGGAACCGAAGCTCGCGACAAAGGAACTCCATTGCCAAATCATAGATCTGCTTTTCATGTACATCCTGCTGCTTCCACCATAGGGCCCGTTTCGGTATCTTGTTTGTGCCGTGCCAGGGACAGAGTACCATATTTGCGGCCGCCATGGCATGCTGGAGGTGTCCCTGAAGAAACAAGGAAAGCCTCAAGGTCGCTCGCCCCCTTGCCTGTGGCACCCCTCAGCCCAAACCCAAAAGAGAGCAGTCCCTACGCCACCAGCACACGCGCCGGTTTCGGTCCTCCAGACCGACATGGTAGAGCCGAGATGCTTATATACATACATATATATATATATATGCACGTGCGTATATGTATATGTGTATATGCATATGTGATAAGTGTATGCGTATACGTATATGCATTTGTGTGTGTATGCATGTGTGTATATATATATATATATATATATACATATATACATACATACATACATACGTATGTTCTGTGCGTGTGCACAAAATTACAAAAATACCATGAAAACGTAAATAAATGCATCTATATATATATATACATACATATATATATATATATATATATATATATATACATATGTGCGTAGGACCTCTCTGCGCTATTTGAGTAACTGCTTCTTCTAGTATGAGCAGTTAAAGGGCAGGCTCTGTGGGCAGTGTGAGTTTGGTCTCTGGGGGTCTGGAATTCTTTTTAAATTTTTAAAATTGTTGAAATTTTTGAAATTTTTAAAATTTTTAAAAATTTGGCCTTTGGGGGTCTGGAATTCTTTTTAAATTTTTAAAATTTTTAAAATTATTGAAATTTTTAAAATTTTTAAAAATTTGGCCTTTGGGGGTCTGGAATTCTTTTTAAATTTTTAAAATTTTTAAAATTTTTAAAATTTTAAAATTTTTGAAATTTTTAAAATTTTTAAAAATTTGGCCTTTGGGGGTCTGGAATTCTTTTTAAATTTTTAAAATTTTTAAAATTTTTGAAATTTTTAAAATTTTTAAAAGTTTGGCCTTTGGGGGTCTGGAATTCTTTTTAAACTTTTAAAATTTTTAAAATTTTTAAACTTTTTGAAATTTTTAAAATTTTTAAAAATTTGGCCTTTGGGGGTCTGGAATTCTTTTTGAATTGTTAAAATTTTTAAAATTTTTGAAATTTTTAAAATTTTTAAAAATTTGGCCTTTGGGGGTCTGGAATTCTTTTTAAATTTTTAAAATTTTAAAAATTTCAAAAATTTTAAAAATTTTAAAAGTTTTAAAAATTCAAAAAGAATTCCAGACCCCCAAAGGCCAAATTTTTAAAAATTGTAAAAATTTTCAAAAATTTTAAAAATTTTAAAAATTTAAAAAGAATTCCAGACCCCCAAAGGCCAAATTTTTAAAAAATTTAAAAATTTCAAAAATTTTAAAAATTTAAAAGAATTCCAGACCCCCAAAGGCCAAATTTTTAAAAATTTTAAAAATTTCAAAAATTTTAAAAATTTTAACAATTTAAAAAGAATTCCAGACCCCCAAAGGCCAAATTTTTAAAAATTTTAAAAATTTCAAAAATTTTAAAAATTTTAAAATTTTAAAAATTTAAAAAGAATTCCAGACCCCCAAAGGCCAAATTTTTAAAAATTTTAAAAATTTCAAAAATTTTAAAAATTTTAACAATTTAAAAAGAATTCCAGACCCCCAAAGGCCAAATTTTTAAAAATTTTAAAAATTTCAAAAATTTTAAAAATTTTAAAAACTTAAAAAGAATTCCAGACCCCCAAAGGCCAAATTTTTAAAAATTTTAAAAATTTCAAAAATTTTAAAAATTTAAAAAATTTAAAAAGAATTCCAGACCCCCAAAGGCCAAATTTTTCAAAATTTTAAAAATTTCAAAAATTCTAAAAATTTAAAAAATTTAAAAAGAATTCCAGATTCCCAGAGACCAAACTCACAGAGGTTTTGAAACGAGTTCCAGATCTCCAGAAAGCGTGCGTTCGCTCTTTTGCATTCACCTCATTATCGTTTAGCGCATGAAACAACAGGGAAACAATTCTGAGTGAAGGGTGAGATGAAGTGAATGAGTTCGTTCCTGATTTTCAAGGAACGAAGTGTCAGGGAGAAACAAGTGAACGAACGCATGAACGAAACACGGTCTCAACGAGTAACACGCCAGGAATTGGACCGTTGACTGCAAAAGCCCTGATTACAAAAAGTAAGCATGCGCGAGTTGATCTTTCATTGACTAAATCTGGCTCTTTTGCGTCTGTCTTCATTCATATAAACTTAGAAGATACCACTATAGATTACCTATAAAGATGCCATTAGATTCCAGTTGTACTTCCAGCATTATAAACTCATTTTAGTGTAAGGTGGGAAGTGAAGGGAACCAAAATACCCATTTTAGTGTAAGGTGGGAAGTGAAGGGAACCAAAATACCCATGCTAAACTAACGAAATGAAGAGAATGTAAGGAACGCACGTTTTCCTCTGTTTCAGTACATGAGAGTTTGATTCGTTTGTCTCGTTCACCCCGTGGTGCGTTTCACGATGAACGAAGCACGCTTTCTCTTATGCTACATTGTCTTCGTTCACTTTAAACTACACCACCTTTGATTACAGGAAAGCCAGTCAATGTAGGATGTGGAG